TTATGTTTAAAGAGACAGGAGGAAGTAAAGATGTTCTGGAAGTAACAATTTAACAGCCTCATTCACTTGTACTATTTTTCTGTACGCAACATTACTGTTGATGAATTAACAAACGATAATAATCATATTAATTAATACTCCACAGAAGATAAAAGTGTGTGTGTGTGTGTGATTATGGCAAAGCCTCGAGGGCTATCTGCCTAAGGGAAGGGATGCCTTCGTGGAGGACTTTCTAAGGGAAACTGGCTCGTATACACGTTACACTGGGAAAACACGAAAACGCCCATGCGCCAGCCCGTCGGGGATTCGACTCGACCGAACTACCAGTGTTCAGCGACTTTACCGCTCGGCCGCTGGTGGGCCTAGAAGATAAAAGAGAAATACACTTTGCTTGTTTTAAAAAGACTCGTGCATATATTTTCTTGTGGGCTCGTTAACTGCATAGTGTCCAATTCGCATATTGTTACTTCAACTTTCGCTAGTCAATACGACGCTTTGGTCCACCAGCGGCCGGATCGGTAGAAGCCTCTGAACACTGGTAGTTCGGATCGGGATTCGAGTTCCGGCGAGAACGGACTGACTGCATAGGTGTTTTCGTAGTTTTCCCTTTGTGTAACGTGCATACAAGCCAATTTCCCTTTAAAAGTCTTCCATGGGTCATCACTGTTTCCTGTGTAATGCCTCATGGTGGAACACTTGATAAATTAAAAGTACGACGCTTTTAGCGAATAACTGATACTAGTCAGAGTGAAGTTGTTAAGATGACGATTATAACCGATATTGGCTAATGTGGGACATTTGGCGGATGCGATATAATCGGCGTTAATCGTGAAAAGGTTAAAATGTTACAGCTGTACGCCTACCTCATTTTACACCTTTGAGTTTTATATTTTCAAATAAATGTTTCATTTATCATAAATATTATTAAAGAATTTTTATATTGATTTCTGATACACTCTGCTTCTCTTTTCCGCTTGTTCATTTTAACATGAAAATTGCTGAAATTCTTAACTGAGTGAGCCATTCCTTCGATTAAGTTCACAACGCCATTAAAGTTAAACAATGATTTTTCAGTAGTAGTGAGATCGTAATGAGTTTAAGTTTTCAAACCGAGCGAGTTTTTAACTTGATTCTTTAAGTATCAAGTTAAATTTTGTATTTTTAAAGAGTGAATAAATCTTTCAGCTTTGATTTTATTTCCTATCTGTTATTTTTATTCATGAATTTCCTGTGTAGGAGATAATTTTCTCTAGTAATAGCACGGACTTACCCGTTACTTAGACCAGGATTGTGCATTATTCTCTGAAATTTTTTGTAATTTACAGTTAGTAAAAGTTACTTTAAATTGATATATTTGCAGAATCATAACAATTCTAAACGTTTCTTTAATTTAAAATTAACCTGATAGCTTTATGTATTTAACTACCCTCATTACTTTACTGTGGCGATCGCGTAGTGCGAGAAACCTCGGTGGCTTTCGTTGCTTGCTCGTGTCGCCATCTATTAGCACAGTTGAGAAGTGCTAAAGCGCAAGGGTTTTGTATTCCCTTGAAGATGGTAATAACCTTGGGATTTGATCCTGGGTCTGTTCAGTGCGAGTCGAATTCTCTACCACTAGCGCGAAAGAGCTCCCGTACGCTTAGTTTCAAACATTCCATTGAATTTGCGAGCGTTGATTTGCTTTCGAGATTGCTATACACTCCCCTCCCAAGCATTTCAGATGCGATATGAGGAAAAGGTTTAACGGCAACCATGTTAAAAGAACATAACATCGCCTAAAAAAACCTGACCTTTAAAATTTACATCTACCGGAGGAAAAATTAGTACTAAATGCAAAAAACGTTCTTTCATCATTTATTCAAAATATGAAATGAAGATTATCAAGAGGTACAGATTCTAATATTTTTTCAAACTAAATTTTACGGTTTTTGCGAATAATTTAACTTGAGGTTACGTTCCGGAATTAAATAAAACTTAGTTTTCTAGCCAAAGAAAAATATATGCATGTTTAAAGTGAAAGATATTAATTCACTAACAATGGAAGTTGAAATCTTGAATCGTCTCAAAAATATTAGAAGAAATCTCATAATTTTGAAATATTTTTTCTTAAAAATCGAAAAGAATAAAAATTAACAAACGTTATTTGGAAGCTGTTTAATTAGTATGAATATCTCGGTCTACACAAAAATACATTTGCGTTTTTTTTTTTTTTTTTTTTTTTTTTTTGTCTTTTACATCTATTAACAAGAAAGTGAATTTGTTTTCTACTCTTCAATAAAATACCCTTCTTAATATGAAAATTCTACTTCCATGCACCTAAATTTTGCATAAAAAAGACCTTTCTAACGCAAAAAATATATTTTCATATTAAATGAAGAAATCTATGTTTTTATAGTTAAATTATGTTTATTTACTGCGATTATTTTAAGAAGGTTTTTGACTGTTTTGTCAGATTTTGATTTTCAGTTCCCTCAAAGTACTTCATTTCCTTTTCAAGATTTATTTCTTCCTTAAAAAAACTGTTACACGATACTGTTACGTGAAACAGAAACTGTTAAAAAATGTTACGTGATAATAATGCTTACATAGAAATCTGAAACAGCAAGAGACATGAAGTGATCTACAGAAATCTGAAATAGCAAGAGTCGTAAGGCAATCTGTATATAAAAGGAATTGTAATATCTTTAGTGCTCAAATCATGACTGCAATACAATTGCAGATGGATGCATAAAATCTTATAAACTATACAAGGTTCAGAAACATGAATGAATACATGCCTATAAGTCTTATTTCCCACCGACGTATTTTAAATTTCGTCTGCAGAAATAATGCACCATGGAGTGTTTGATATCAAAGGAATATAATAAGAACAAAATGAGACAAGAAGACAGGACACCACTGATTGGTATAACTTTTATTCCTATTAAGTGAAATATCTAGTTATTTATGAAAGTAATATCTGTTAGCATGATATGTTTCAGTTGCTACACAGTTGAAGATATGCCATTTTTATGACAAATTACGCTGCATGCTGCAGTACACAAACACTTTGCCAAAGCTTTGAAATGGAAGAATAAATAAAAGTTAATTTATGACTCACTGCAATCTGCAAAGCACAAATTTCTGGCAAGATATGTTTCATTATACATCCATTTGCTTTAAGGAGATCTGACCTTCACATACATTAATATAATCTAATTCAATAAAATCAGAATACTGTGTGATAAACAGATAAATACACACAACAGTGCAACATACACAATAAATTACCATTAATACTTTCAGCACATTTCATACTTCACCTGCCCACATTAGAAAAATGTAGCAGTTCTTTTGTAACCTGTATAAAGTGAGCGATCGAGAATCATTCGGTTACACAACAAGTTTTAAATTTTATTCCATAATTTAAAATTTTTCGAGATATAAATTTTACATTGATTAAACATTAATGTCTATTAAATATATTACAACATGTAGTACGTGAGACATTCATAACACATTTAATTATCGCAATTGTATAACACGTGAATTCAGCAAGCACAGAAATAAAGAAATTAGTGTAATTTTGCTGTGCATTCCAAATATCAACGCCACAGCAGATAATATCAACATCAAAGATTATGAACATGAACATAAAAATCGCTTAAAAGCTCCTTATTATTTCCTGGCAGTCACAGTTACTTTCAAGCCACAGCCAAGGAGCAACAAACAATTTTAACTACAGCAAAATTTAGTACTATATAACCATGATATTCGCACTTGTTTAATTAAAAAAATATAAAAGTTCATGAAACCAAAAATTTAATGATGATAAAGTCGAAATTTGAAAGATTAGAACATTAGTTGTTCAGATTAATACTTTTTATTAAAAAATATCAGAATTTTCATGTAATCAAAAATTCGGTGCTAACGAATAGAGCAAAGATACTAAGTTTAAGAAAATTAGTATCCTAAATAATTTACTGCAATAATAAATTTTACTGCAATGATTACCTTTTGTTTAATTTTCATAATATTTTTTTTATACTGGACATTTCCTTAATGATGTTTAGTTTTATGGATTATCTGTATTAAAATTTTCGTTCATTTTTGAGACTGACGAGACTTTAATTGCCCAATATCCACTGCACATGATTTCTCTCGATTAATAATCTCATACCTTTCCAGATTTTAGCTCCTATTGTCTCTTTTGTATTATTTATCCATAGTATTTTTCTTTTTTTCTTAATTCATGTCTTATTTCTCTTTTGCTATGCTCTCTTCTTTATTGCTGCATTCGTTATCGACGCATTTCTGCCTGGAAGACCATTTTAATGGTTTTCTTGTTCTTCCCTGGTTTTTACTTTCTTTTCGTAACGTGTTTCATTTTCAGATTTACAAATTTTTTTTATGATATATATGTTTTTTGTCGTTCTTCCGTTACCCGCTTCTAATTTTAAATGATACCTCCCGCTCCTATAATCGCTCCTAGACTGAAATATTTCCGTATCTACTTTTTATCTTATTTTTGTTTTTATCTGCTCTTTTGTTGAAGTCCGTTCCACTTGCTTTCCGCGAAGTAACGCATATAGTCACCCATCCCGATAAAAATTTGCGCTTAGGTCTCCCATCGTTCTTCCTAATTTTGCTCTCCTTCCTTTCTCAGTTCTTCTCTTTTTTTTTTTTAATTGGTTTGTAGCGCATTTTGTTCACCCCATATACCGTCGCCTAGATCCCCCCCTCACAACGCCCTGCACTATAGGTGGATTGCGCTCCATTTGCCGTCCTCCGCTTTCATTCCATTTTGCAGGCATCTGCCCGCTTTTGCTTAGATGCTTTGACGGCAGTCTTTTGATTTGCTTCGTATCCCCCACCATTAGTTATGCCCCCAACAAACTGTCATATTTATTCTTCCCTCGCATCCACGTAAAAGTTTTATCACCGTCATTCCTTTACTTTATTCGAATCTTTTCCTCTTTTTAAAAAAAAAAAAAAAAAAAAAAAAAAAAAAACAAGAAATAGATTATAAATGAAATGAGATTTAGAGAATGGAAAGAAACAAGAAAGGAAATTAAACTACAAAGAATAGAATTTCTTTTCGTTTTCAACCAAAACAATTTAGTAAATTTAGAAAAACAGAAAATTAAGCGATTAAATTTCTTTGATATCTTTTGAGATTTAAGAAAAACAAAAATTAGATTAAAAGTAGATTCCCTTCCATTTCTCTTAAAAAAAAAATTTAAAATGTATTTCTTAACCATTCTAAAATCTCTTGCAAACAAACTAAGCAATATCTTGTAAACATACAACTATGCTGTTTTTATAATTTAAATTTTGATTTTTATCCTTAAAAAAACTGAGAATAGAAGTAAGAAACAGAATAGCTCTCTGGACGAAAAAAAAAAAAAGAAATATTTTTGGTTATTAAAGCGTAGAAGAACGCACCAAAACATCGTACACTTGCTTTATTTACCAAGTCTACAGAAAGAAATATTATACATGTTTGGATAAAATTTTACTGCCACCTTGTTTAAAAAGATTAGAAAAATATTGAATGTGGACCATATTACTGTTGGTATAAGCGAGAAATAATTAGGAAAAATTTAGCTGCAGATTTCATCATTTACTTAACTTTCTATTGAGATATATTACGTTTCAGAATGATGCTTGTTTCTGAGCTTACATAGCGTAGACTTAACATTACTTTACCTGCACCATCTCCTGCTTCACACTTTGTATTACAGAAATCTAAACATATTTAATGTTCTATAACATATCTATTCACATAAAATGAATAAAAATGTACAACAGAATAAATACAGCAATAAATATGATAAGATTTGCATAAAATCAACTTTACTGGAATTTAATTAATTCATTGATAAATTCATAAACCCGAATTGCACCTTGATATAATTTCACCATGTGCAGCAACATTAGGAAAGATTTGAGTTTAAAATATATGACGTCTTAGGAATTTAATCTAGTAGAATAATTTTTTTTCGTTTTAGTTCAAAATATTAATTGAAGGGCAACTAACGACTTGAAAACTATTATGACTAAATTGGTCTCCCCTTTTTACTGCCTAAATTTGGATCTGAAGAATAAAACATAACCACCCTGTCATTAATTACAAGATACATTTCCTGCATTTGATGAGTTCTCAGTCTTTGAAAACATTAACAGTAATAAAAATGCTTAGTTCTCGAATATCATATATCGCCAACCGCAGTTTAGTTCCCTTAACCAAGTAGACGCACCAGAAGAAATGATTCTTTTACCATTGTCAACACAGGGCCGAATTATGCGATAAAAATGCAGCACCGCACAAATCATTTTCAAGTCGAACTTAGGAAACAGTCCCGTAAGCTGCTCCAGCTTCATTACATAGTTGTCACTCATTTCCTGCAACATTTCCCGAATTAATTCAAGGACTATTTCACTCCGCTCCGCGTGAGAAAGATCGGCGAATATGTAATCCGGCCCAGCGTCAACAGGCGTCAGTTTAATCACAGCCGCAATGGCAGTTCGCCATTTGAACTTCAATAAATTCTCATCTCTTCTATTAATTGTTAATGTCGTTTTCTTCAAACAAATAAGTTTAGTCGAGAGTCTTCAGCTAAGCTTCGGCCATCTGTCTTCAAACTTACGTCAACCGAAGGAATACAATGATCAAGAAAGCCAACACGTAAACATAATTTGCATATATCTGCATTGCTCCGCTGATCCTGGTGCATTCAGTATTTCGAGCATCTGAAAAAAATATAAGAGCTCTGTTTTATTACATTAATCTAAAAATAACATCAGAACTCGACACCGAAATAAAGAACATATAATATAATTTTTTCAAGTAAAATGCTCTAAATAGTTTGACAAACATTCGCCTTCGCGAAAAATCAAACAACTTTACACTATAATTCTTATATATACTCTCAGAGAAGGCGCATATCTGCTTTTTACTTCCTCATGCGAAGTAAAAAAGAAGTATTGTAATCGCGAAAAGTTTCGGGCAGCATATTTCAACCCAAATATCCATTTTCACGGCTATCGAATGCAATTTAATTATGTTTTTGTGTGACATCTGTACGTAAGGATAGGATAAAGGACTCTTTTCTCCGAAAAAAGTTGAATGAATCTAAGAGATTTTTTTGGGGTCTGGTACGTAGTAGTATGTACTCGACAACTTAAAACGAGTAGCCTCAGAACGGAAATTTTGTATATAGGATGCTATAACAAGTAGATGGCACCTGTATTTGGTTGCATCGGTTGCACCAAAGTATAACTATATGTATATATAAAATATCCACTCTGTACTCGCTCAGTGATCCGTTTAATTCTCAATTTGTAAATTGTGCATTTTTTGTTTAAAACGATGGAATTGGTTGTCTATTTCCGGTTAAGGTTGTATACCTTTAGTAAATCTGTATGCAATATTTAGAATTATCAAACAATTAAAGTGTTAGTGCCGCTAAGTCATAATTTTTCCCAGGAGGCCAATGTTGTTTACATTGAAACAGCAGATAATAGATTTGTTGCCAATCTAGAGAAAGTAGCTTCGCAATAAAAAGATAACGCCTTCTTATGATTGCGAATTAAATCATGTTTATCTTCTGAATTATCGTGAAAAGCGCTAAGATTTACTCATAATTTTCTATGAGAATTTGAGTTTATGTATTTTTGCTTATCGCGAAGTGACATTGATTATTGAATGAGAAACACGAATCGCTGCGAAAAATGTTTCCTTTGTTTGGTTCTTTGCTTAATTTTTTTACATCGTTTAGATTATATAGTATTAATAGAACATGTGGCAATGATTAGATATTTAAGATAATAAAATTTGTGCATTTGAGTAAAAAAAATGAATGAATGTAACGCTGTTAGGGAACCTAGGGCCCGAGTCCTATGGTAACAAATATAGTGAATGTAAAAGATGCATTATTATATTGCGTTTGGCATCGACGAAGCGGATTAATTCAATCCAGTAAGTTTAAATGAAATGCAAGGAAAAATGGGTATAATTTAATTTTCCGTACAAGGAAGTCATGTGGTGTACACATCAGATATTTTAAACAATAGTTAAAGGTACTTACGGAAAATCCCGTCGACCATTTTTGCCTATTAAAGAAAAAGGTTTGGTGTATCCTTGATTATATCTGTTAGTTATTATTCTTGAGTAAAGACTCCTTTTTTCCTCTTTATTACGCATTTTCGAAAAACAAATTATTAAAATTTGGGACCTGCCTACTACAGAAGAGTATGCTGTTGAAAACTTCCAATGTTATGGAATCTCACCGGCTTTAAAAAATTTGTTAATGGCCACGAAATGGAGCTTTATTTAAAAACTGAGAAGCAATGGCTTTGCAACGTTAAGGCTTGTGCAAAGCCGAGTGTCAGTTAATGAAATACAAATTGCTTTAGTGAAAAATTAAATATAAATAAATGATAACATAATAAATTGAAAGAAAAACAAGAATAGAACGTTTTCTCTTGCATTTAGAAATTTTTTTTCCTTGTTTGGCGCCATTGGCGCCGTCTCTTGCGGTCGACGGGATTTTTCGTAAGTACACAGTTGGTAAACATTCAAAAATAACTAAGAAAACGCATATAAACAAAAACATCAAAATATACAATTTCATGATTTTGGCATAGTACTAAGGATACGCTAAGTGCTAAGGATTTGCTAAGTGCTAGCAAATGCTGTATCTCATATACTTGAAATGGTAAGAATACGTGCTAGCACATACTGTATCTCATACGTACCAATGAAATACTACAATACCGAGTATTATAATACTACAGTATTAAAACTGTTAAATATTAATATATCACAAAGATCGCTATTTTGTCCACTTGAAATGGTAATGGTACAGTGGATAAAAACTAAACTGAAATAATACCCAGAAAAATTATATTCTGCATTCTTACTGCTGTAAACGAAAAGTGAGCTTAAGTACACAAAAAGTTGAATCTTCGTTACATTTGTTACTATTTTGTAAGGAAATATCTGGCATGTTTGTATAAGAAGCCTATTCCCATATCTTTAAGCAGATTAATTCTTAAAAAATAGTCTTTTTTTGTCAAAACAATCGCTTTCTGTTAAAATCTCAAAACTAAACAGAAACAAGACGCAAAACAAATTCATATTCGCATGACCGTAAAATGCTTCTAAAAAATCTCACATCTGGTTTTATCACATTTTTAAAGCTCTAGAAATTGACCCAAAAAATGTGAAAAATACAATGGAATCTTTCGTGACTTCTAAAAGTAACTAACATTTTTTGAGAAAATAAATGAACATCAAAAACTGAAAAACTAGTGGTGAATCCTTTTGCCTGAGGCGAACGCTCTAATAAATGAGAAAAGTCGTCTAAAAACGTTGGTGGTCGCCTTACAGAAGTTTAGCAAGCATCAAATGTGATATATAATCGAATCTTTCGCCAGCCGACTCTCATAGACCCAAGTCGTTTGCAAGTTATTATTAGGAAGGGTTCACTAAATTAGATTATATTGATTTCTTACCTTAAGAGCTAAGGAATTAGAAAAGAGGGAGAGAAAAAGAGAGAGAGGGAAAAAAAAAGAAAGATAAAAACACTTCATTAATGGAAAATTTCCAATAAAGTTGAACTCCCATTAATGGAAGTTCGATTGTGTTCGTGCAAAATTTAGTAATACTGTTAGTTTGCAATATAACTTTTCATATGCGCAGCTGCTCCAATGTCTACAAGTGCGCATATGTATTTTCAGAGTATGGCTTCAATAGCTTTATTACCGATTAACAATATGAATGATTTTCAACAGAGTGGCATAATGATACAGACAGACATCTTTACAAAATTTGTACTAACTTTTATCGCCACTGTAACACAATAAATGCAATACCAGTGCATCTGTAATGTAATGCCAGTGCAAAGAAGTATTGTAACATAGCATTGAACAAGTATTATCAACATCATATTCGTTATACATATTAACTTGCACTAGTGCTACATTTTGCCGGTATTATAGAAGGATATATGTTCTTATAACATCATTCACTTGATGAATTCATTACAAACATTACATTCATTTACATAATTGTATTTGTATATGTTTAACAGCTATTTGTAATGAATATGTGTTGCCACATCAGTCTATCTGTAATAGTGTAACAATGTACATATTGTTACATGCGTACTGGTTCGTAGTAGATTGAATGCATACAGGTCCGATGATAGATTCACTTCAAAGTTCTGGAACTTTCTGTAGAAATACCAGTACAGGTGTCACAGTATTATCCCACAGTACAATCAGTAGTTACGTCTCAAACTACTAAAACGTCAAATGCAACGCAATGCATCTAAAGAGAAAGGTAACTCGGATATATCTCAATTCACGCGGAACTAAAGCCTCGCACAGTAATAGTTAAGCAATTAAAAACAAATACTCTCTCTTCGGTTTTAAATAGTTTTCATCTGGCTGCCGCGGTATTTCTAGTACTTTCTGCTTCTCGAAATTGCTGGAAAGCAATATGAGGGGAGAATTACGGTTACAGCTAACATAGTGGACAATTACATTTATTCAATTTCAATACGTATTACGGCGATACGGGGACCAAACAAAATTTTTGCCAAATGGTCGCTAACTTTTGGCGTTTTCTCGCCAAATTACCGAGATACTCATTTACTCAATTTTAAATGCACATGCCCCTGTATTCTTACTTTACCGGCATAGCTTCTCTTTAGATTTTTCCTGTTACGAAAGAAATACAACAATTTTACTTATAATTCTACTAAAATTACCTATCTCAGTACAAAATTCGTAGCAATATGCATCCGCATCGAATAGCTACGAAATTGTAGGAAACCTTGAAGAGGACATCTCCAGTTTACCCCAAAAAATAGCACATGCATTGTCTCCGTGTCTTGCCGTTCTCAGCCTAACAGCTAAACACTTACAACAGAAGGCTGCTTTAGCCGCATGGCTGATTATACAGTAATACAGTATACAGGCTGATCATACAATACCTTACAGCGTTACAAAATGATTCTTGAATAATTAATTATACGTATATCTTGCTGAATGAGTTATTGCACAACCAGCTGTAAACATATTGTTACAAATTTTGTACATAAATAGATGATTTTAGCGCAGTTATATGTGAAATTGATGTATTTTTTCTGTGTTATGTAACGCGAAACAAATTTTAAGAGAGAGCTCTGTCATAAAAGTAATAAAGTGAATTTCCGGCGAGATATCGCCAAACTGACAACGGTGTTAGTGACTTATTTTGTCGCCAAATCTAACGAGAAATTGCAAAAAGTCGCCAAATTTGGCAACCATTTGGCGACATTGGGGTCCGGTTGCTGTATCACCGTAATACGCATTGAAGTTGAATAAATGTAATCGACCACTATGTTAGCTGTAACCGTAATTGCTTTTCAGTAATTCTGAGAAGCAGAAAGTACTACAGATATCTCGGCGGCCGGTTGAAAACTATTTAAGGCCAAAGAGAGAGCATCTGCTCTCAGGTGCTTAGTTATCGTTGTGAGAGTCATTAGTTTCGGATGGATTGAGTTAGCTTTCTGTTTAGATGCGCTTTGCATTGAGTTGTGTTTAACGTTTTTAGTATTTTGAAGCATAACTACTGGTTGTGCTGTGTGATACTGTGACACCGGTATAGGTATTTCTGCAGAAAATTCCAGAACTTTCAAGTGTTTAGTTTGATAAAATAAATTTTTGTTAACCTCAATATCATCAGACCTGTGTGCATTCAA